CCCCCCCCCCCCCGGGTCTTATACATACACACGACAAACACATAAGCGTCCGCTTAAGGGAATAAAGGTTTTTTTATCATAAAAGAAGTCATTACGGCTTGCAGGCAGTCGTTACCAAGAGGGGCACACCATGGAATTTGTTCTCTCGTATAAGTACAGTTTCGCTCAGTAACAGAGTTTGCCAAAGAATTAAAGCTGATTTTAAATACAATTCTACATTTTTACCGTTGCGACATCTCTCACAAGAGATAAGATGAACACCTCCTCCAGCTTGAAATTTTCGTTGTCCAATAAATCCTATGAATAAGAGACACAGTCAATTAATATTTCTATTATTGGACTTTCTGTGGGAAGATTAATCAAGATCGTATTTATTACGACCTTTGGATGAAATGAGTTGAACGAAACTTATTTTACGTTCATTGGTGTGAAAAATCACTGCACGGGCAATTTCTGCATTCAATGAAACGCAATGTGCAATTAATCAAAGAAAAGTCTTTATTCGTGTTGTAAAAAGTCAGTCGTGCGACGACGGACACAATGCTTTTACAGTAACGTTGCCTTTTCTTTCGCGACTTTTAAAGTCTAATGTACCAAATCGATATAGCGTTGTAAGCCTATATTATAATACACCATTTTCAAGCTTATTACTGTGATTCTTCCGTGTGTCCTCTATCAGTTCTGTCTTTTTTTAAGACCTGAAGTACATTCAAAATTATTCTTTCGATTCTATGCGTTTCTCCGGGAGCATTTGTTTTACACTCGTTTTAAACTTGTTTTACGTTTTTTTTACACACTGTCACCGACCGACAGCGTTTTTTTTAAACAGGTGTCTAGACTGAACCATATAACACCCTTTGTATTTAAAAGTGCTCAATAGGAGAACACTGCTAAAATACTTCATAACCTACCTGTAGACTGCCTCTCTTTAGGTATTTGGATAAGATCAGGATTTGCGGTGATTCCAAACATATACCAATGAATGGGTTTATGTATTCATGACGCAGTTCCCGGGCCTAAAGTAATAAGTCATTAGTTATTAGAAAGATCACTAGGTGTAGTAACGAGCCTAACTAAGCCTGTTTACCTCATACTGTTCTAGTCGTGATATTGATGGTTTTCTACCATTCCCAAGAGAATTAAATAACAAAAGACACGGCAGCCATGTTGGAGGAAAGAACGAAAGAATTCATTGACAATTCTTTTGTTAAATTCCTCCAACATGGCCGCCGTGAAAACCATCAATACCCACCTGTTTAACTTCAATCAAGATTTTTCTTGATATGGGTATTTCCTTTTTCTTCATCCTTTTTACGGCAACCATTTCAGCCTGTCATGGAATAAAATGAAGGTTAGACGACCAGTTATCGTGATTTGTAGTATTGAGCGAGCTCAGCTGTTTCCATGTCGGCTTAGTTTCTGGTTCATCAATAGTGCACCTTTTCATTGCCACCGGAAAAACCTTAACTTCGTGGTAAGTCAAGGCACGGCTAACTTAACAGTTATGGAACTGGAATTTTTAGCGTGTTAGGTTTTGCTGGGGGATCAAATCAAAGGGGATATCTAACAATCTCTACTCACATGTGGTGCCCTATGAGAGGAGATTACATTAACTGTGGTACAAGCATCGGAAAAAATAAACAACGAACCAATAATGCATTCGAGAAAAAAATCAGTTTATAAAGAAACACTACAATCGTTAGTTGGTCGGACATTCTGTATTCCATTGGGAACACTACCTATTGTTTGGGTGTACACTCAAGCATAGCCGGGATTGGTCTATACTGGATATTCTGTATTCCATTAGGAAAACTACCCATTGTTTGGGTGTACACTCAAGCATAGCCGACAAGCATATTACAAAAGGTTTTAAAAGAATAACTACATGCATATCTTGTACATGGCGATAGCAGTGAAGACAGACGAGAAGACTGGCTCGTGTAGACTCCATCGTGCAGATGATTGTGTATCAGTTGACTTGGCAGATTTAATACTGACATGAGACATGCTGCCTTCCTTTGCACTTTTAATCGATTTGAATGACCTGATACTCTTCCCTTGAGAATTCTAACAAGATGAAACCAAACATGAATAAATAGTAAGCAATAATGAAACGAGAGGAACTTAGAAAAAATCCTAGTTTATGGGAATCGAACCCACGACCCTCCGCGTTCTAGTGGGAGGCTCCAACATTGAGCTATAGACTCCTTGCATGTGACGTCAAAGCAGTTCAATTTGGAGGACAAAACAAAAGAATTTCATTCTAATGAGAACTGGAAACCTATTAATGGGTTGCAAACATTCCAAAGAGAGGTAAAAGACAAAAGCATGGCGGCCATTGTGGTGCCGTTAACAATGGGTGCTAATAAGAAATCTTTTGCTAAATGGCACCAACGCTACCCCAAGAGGGCGCGGTAACGTGACGTGCAATGGAAGAAATGTTATATCCACCAAAATGACAGCTGCATTCTGACATACTGCAAGAGGTCTACACCTAATTGAAAAAACGTTGTCGGGTTCAATAAGGTTATATCATCAAAGCTAAGACCGAAGGGGAGCATGGGAAGACAAAATACCGCAGCCAAACAGCTCTCCAGCGTATAAATCTTCGGAGAATGGCTTTGTGTTAATCTAGGTCGACCGACTTTGCTCTACTGTGCATTTTTACATGCCTATATGCAAATATAATACACATTTCGGAGTACCCAAAATCCTTTTCGGTCTTAGCTTCGATGATATGACCTTCTCGAACACGATAACGTTTTTTCAATCGGTTGTATATATGATGTTTTTAATAGCACGAGTATTCCTGACGTACCTGGAGCGATCTCATAGAAGGACCATATGGATTCTCTCTGAATATGATATCTTCTTCCTTTACTTTCCATGACTGGTTCTGAGCAAGATCAAGCTCGAAGGCAAGTTTTCTATTCAACAAAAAAGGCAGCCAATAAATCTATTTGATTATCAATATATTTTGAGTTCTGGAATTTTGAACAATGTGGGAAAAAATCTCAACGACCTTCAAATTCTATAGAACCCTAAACAACCTGGCTTTGGGCTGATCAAAGTCAGCCGGGCAAGGCTAAGTCACAGATCGAGCCCTGAAATAACCTYTAGGCTGGGCAAAGTCAGGTTAGACCATGGATGATAAAACGTCCCGGAGTAAAAAACCCAGTTCATATAGACCCCTTGCACGTCACGTCAAAGCAGCACAATTTGGAGGACAAAACAAAAACTTTTCATCTCATGAAAATTGGAAAGCTATCGTCACATGTCCTTCAAATTGAGCTGCATTCCGATGAACTGCAAGGGGTCTATTTTTATGAACAAGCTTTCTTACACTTCTTTGACATTTTGCGGCTGGCGTCAGCAACCGTGCTCTGTYCGCTAATAAAGCACAGTTGTCGATCAATCAGAATAGTTTCTAGTCTTACCTGTAGACAAACACGAAGACCAGGGTGACGAACAGCACTCCAGAAATAGTACATGACGCAATGATGACGTAAGTAGTACTATCTGTAAAACCAAAAAAAAGACATCTTTCAGTACGACAAACCTATCTTAACAAAAATGAATCCTTACTCCGYAAACCAATGAAAAAGCTGGAAAGTGCATCTTTTTTTATTTACTGCAGTTTTCGATATTCTTCAAACTCGGTAATTACAAGCTGCACGTTAAAATTTGGTTTTTCGCTGCCGTCAATCAAAAATAATCAGTCCGCGGTACCTTTTATGTTCTTGACTGGTGGCAGTGAAAAACCAATTTCACAACAAGCCGTTAGAATGTCCTACTTTAGTTCACAGATATCGAAAAGCACACTAAAGGACCTTGGGAACGCCAGCACATYTCTACTCTGTTTAGAGAGAGTACTTCTAACGACATAAAGAACTGATTTTTGTGCGGGTATGAAAATAGGAGAAAAATCCTCGAAGAACGGGAGACGAACAACCAACGCCACTCAAATATGATGGTAGGCTCAAGGACTCAACTCACGACTAAAAGAGTGAGCAAGAACGAGGTATAGGCACATCGCCAGCCAGCAAACCCCCCTTGCTTCCCTAAAACTCAGTTTGAAAAATAAATAAAGCAAACCACGTACGTACCTCCAGTTTCCTCGCACAACTCTCCCTTCCATCCACACTCAGGGGAGTCCTTTGGTGGTGTCAGAACCCCCCCTGGCCAGATGATAGTCACCCCCTGCCTTATTGTGAAGTTATCATTGTAACGAGTATAATAAGCTATGTCTTCAAACTTGTCGTTGATGAGAGTTTGGATGGTGTAATCGGGATCTCGGTCACCCTTGTTATCGATGTACACAGTACCTGCTACACCTAGAGACACGAGACAATATAGGATTTGGAGCTTTCATTTATTAGAGCAAGATAAGAGGTCGTAAAGAGTTTTTATTTGTTTTTGTTTTTTTTGTAGGTAGAAGGGTAGTCACGTGTGTGTTCGTTTTTGCGTGGGGGAGGGGGTGGTGAGAATGGGGTGGATTTGAACGCGCGTTTTCACTTGACGTCAAAGCGGCCATCTTTTATACCAAGTGACTTAAACACACAACATGGCGGGGTTCATAACCCAAGGTCCGTAAGTGACAAAGCAAATTGGTTGGCATATTAACATTTTGAGTCACATGGTTGCACACAATGTATACGTCACAACTTGAAAGATGTATTGGCCTCAGCCTCCCTCGCTGACAGTAGAACTGAGCAAAGAGTACGCAGTATCGTCAATCAATGTATATCTTTTCTTTAATCCTTACCTTCAAATATTCTATTGTACATTTTCTTAGCGATGACTAACCCGTCTCTCTTTGATCCTCCTTCGCTCAACGTCTCATTCAGAGCGATAGCATAAAGATAGACAGCATCGTACATGGTTCCTGCATATGCTTCAATCTACGGTCGGTAACAAAACTAATCTGTTATAGTCCCTTTTCTCATATCGTAAATACCGCTGTGTTTTAAGACTGAACACTCATCTCCGCAAGCTTAGCCTCGCTTAAGAGTAAATCATTTGCAAATGTCAACTGTAATGTAAAGAATGTGCAGCTTGAACACCACGAATGCTTTAAAATCCCACGTAGTTTTAATGGTATCTGTGAATAGCTGACTTATAAACGAGGCTAAGCATGTGCAAATGAGTCTGTAGTCTTCAAAAACAGCAGTATGCATTGAATGTGAAACTAGTGTAATGAAAATGTGAGAAATAAGACCTCTTTACCTTGGGCGTAATTTTTCCCCACGTCACTGACCACGTGTCATTCCCAAGAGTATCATTTCTTTGTTTAACGGTTACGCATCAGAAGACACATGAATATGGATACGACTCAAACAAGGAAATCTYATTCTCAAGGGAATGACATGTGGTCTGGAATGAGAAATATTACGCTCAAGGTAAAGAACTGTTTAAAATGCAATATTTTCAAGATTATTTGTTTCTGTCTGTTTTACATTTTCGAATATCATAAGATGCGTTTTCAACATCCGCTGTTCAGTCTACAGCATTTGTCTTCTAATTATAGTCTTTTCTTAAAAATAGCTTTTATTATCTTCGCAAACTGCCTTTTATAATAACCTGAAATCTTGACATACTTTCTTATAGTTTCTTATCATCATATTATATATTCCTAGATTATTATATTTATTAGTTTGCACATTTTAACGCGTAATTCAGTCGGAAGACTGCGATGTGTTGAATCTTTCGAAATTGTTACCGGTACCCCAAAACTGTAAAGTATAGAAATGTAAAAAGGCGAAAACCATTACTTCAAGAGTCAGTCTCACCTTGCTATTATCCTGCAGCTCAATATTGAAAGGATCCTCTTTGAGTCGTAAACGAACTCGATCGAGAAAAGCCTGAACTTTGTCACCTGTTGTTTTAGCCGTGCCAAACTTTTGCTCGATGTTGAGTACCCCTTCGTATGCCTTCTTTGCGTCATCATCACGACCATCGTTACCCATCCACGTGTTGTTACCGATGTATGACCTGAAATAGACAGTGTGAGCGGACTCTCTATATCGGCTTTTTTTGGTCACACGGAAAGAGGACGGGCCGAGCCGGGACGAGAAGCAAATTCCTAGCCCCATCCCCTGCGGAGAACCCGTAACCTCCGCACAACAGGCGGGATATAGACACCTTGCAGCACTTTGGAATGCAGCTCAATGTGCACGGCAAAACAATAGGTTACAATAGACGACTTGCACTAAGAGGTCACGTGATCAAATCGRCCATTGTGGCTAACATTAGCTATGCGAGAATGTAAAAAAAGATGGTGGATACGGGTAGTTTCTTTTTGTGATAAAAGGTAAGTTAGCGCACTAGATGACGATAAAAATCCCTTTTTCTTGCAAGAAATATATTCTTAGTAGATATCTAAAGTCGATTTTGGCTATTAACTAGCCAAGAAGAAAGAAAAAAATAGCGGAATTGATCACATGACCTCTTAGTGCAAGTACAAGGGCTCTATACATACAAAGTCATACTTAGTACCTTTTAGGTAAATGCACCGTAATAAAAGCATTTTTTCCATTCAAYAGCCCGAGATCTAAAAAGTTCAGCATTATGTCTTGAATATCGCCACCACTGCACAACAGGATGAAAACTGAAACCATGAATGAAATGGTTAGGAAAAAAGTCTTTGTCTTTTCTTTTGCATGAGTACTAGAAGGTCTGATTGGTGTTAGATCTGTAGGGTGTAATTTATATAAGATCGTAAAGTGTAATATTACATGTCTGGATGTTTACACAGCTGTACATGGGGTGTCGTTTCT